ACTGAAATAAATATTAGTTGGCATGACCGGTTGACCATCTCGGTTCAATTATGATGCGAAAAATTAATTGAGAATTACATTGGCATATATTGAAGAAATATAAGATTCTTCAAGAATTCTCTTCTGCTGCTTATTCTCATGATATAGCAGTTAAGGTTGGGATTGAATCCCTTGATTTATGGAACGAATAAAAGTTGATAAATATATGGGCCCAGTCACCTTCCATGTGGACCGTTTACTATTATATGATTTTAATAGATGCATCTATTTTATGGTTACATGTGCATTTGTTATCAACTTGCAATTTGGCTTTTACAAGATTAATTGCTCAAATTATTAGAGCACAGTTTCAGAATATAAATTATGATGATTTATCTTGATAATACTAGTTTAAATCCAAGTTGGTTTAGCAGAAATTGTATGCCTCCAATTATATCTAAACCATTGGTTATGAGAACAAAATTGCCAAAATAAAATTTGGTATGTGATGTATTATTTAATATACAACAGCACTTGTACGCATCTAGCCAAGTTATGATAAGTTCTCCCTATCACAATCGGTTCAGGGTCAGGAACCAAATAATTTCCATCTAGAAATATGAATGTGCTATATGATTTAATTGTTCCACCATAATACACAAAGATGGATCCCCAAATAAGGCTAGGGATATGTATTGGTGATCCCAACAATAGGGAAAGAAAATGGACAGATGAAAAAGTAATGCATGTAATGAATTATTATGAGTACATCTAGATCCTCGTACGAGAAAATGTGAACTTGAAGTTCAAGTGATAATTCATTTGTAAAATATTGCCAGGCGTATTTGCTGACCCAAAGCTAAATGTCATATTCAGCTGCTAATGCTCCAAATAAAATAAAGTTCATAATGAATAGAGTTTATATCTGCATAAAGCATAATAGACTAATCAGTTCCAAAGATAAAACTCCTTGAAGAAGGAGAGGAGCAAATGTTCAAGATGGTCATAATAAGGAGGCAAGTACTCTAGAAGAGCACCATGACATAACACTTCATAAGACCTCAGGGGAGACGCTTAGGTACCTGAAAATAATAAGATAAAGAGATCTCAATAAGTTATGTCTTTATTGGGTAAAAGTAGAACCGATATAAAATGATCATTGACGATATTGTTAATATAATGTAGCGTTCAATATTATTAATATTGACGAGGATATTGAGCTCAAATCTGTCATGAAATTTAGACAAATAAATGATTGGCCAAATGAAAAATACGCAATGAAAATTGATGTCACCTGAAAAATATGAAGTTGGACGAATAGTCTCAACACCTGAAAGCATAAAGCCAGTGGAGGTATAAATGTGTTCTTGTGCGAAAAAAAAGGTCAAGTCGATAAACATAAAGACGACTTGTGTCACAAAAAAATTTATAAATATCATGGTATTGATTGTATAGAGGCATGTTCTCCTGTGGTGGATGTCGCCATTTCAGGTTTTAATCTGGCAATACAAGAAAAACGTGATATGCGTATAATGAAAATCATTGAAGGATTTAAATTGTTCTGAAGCATATTAAGGTTTCCTAAAAATTTATTAAATAAAGTTTCAAAAATCCTTATACGGATTGAAACAATCAGAGCGCATGGGGTATAATCGCCTAAGTGAGTACCTGTTGAAAGAAGGGTACAAGAATGATTCAATTTGTCCTTGTGTCTTTATAAAAAGATCTGGATCTAAATTTATTATAATCACCGTGTATGTTAATAATTTAAATATCATTGGAACTCCTAAGGATCTTCCTAAAGCAATAGACTATTTAAAGAAAGAATTTGAAATGAAAGATCTTGGAAGGATAAAATTTTGTCTTGGTTTACAAATTGAGTTTATGAAAGATGGAATTTTTGTCCATCAATCAACATACACTAAAATAATTTTAAAGCGATTGTATATGGATAAAACACATCCATTCCGACCTCATGAAAATAATGAAGAGTTTCTTTGTCCTGAAGTACTATATCTTAGTGCAATTGGTGCACTAATGTATCTTTCTAACATTACAAGGTCTGACATAACCTTTTCAGTTAATGTCTTAACAAGATATAGCGCTGCTCCTACAAGGAGACATTGGAATGGAATCAAACACATATTGCGGTATCTAAAAGGGACTACCGATTTGAGATTATTTTATGGCAATGATTGCAGTCCCGATCTTGTTGGTTATGCCAATGCTGGTATTTATATGACCCACACAAGGCTCGATCTCAAACATGTTATGTGTTTATATATGGAGGCACTGCCATATCTGGGCGATCGACTAAGCAATCAATCATGGCTACTGCATCTAATCATGCTAAGATAATTGCTATTTATGAAGCAAGTCGAGAATGTGTATGGTTGAGGTCTATAATACACCTTATTCGAGACAAATGTGATTTAAAGTGTGACAAACTACCCATAATTTTATATGAAGCCAATGCAGCATGCATAGCCCAATTGAAGGGAGGATTCATAAAGGGGATAAAACAAAGCAAATTTCACCAAAGTTATTTTTCACATATGATCTTCAAAAGAATGGTGATATCAATGTGCAACAGATCCGTTCCAGTGATAATATGGCTGATCTGTTCACCAAATCTCTACCGACGTCAACCTTCAAGAAACTAGTGTACAAGATTGGGATGCGAAGGCTCAAGGATGTGAATTGATGCTCTTATCAGGGGGAGTTAATATGCGTTGTACTCTTTTTCCCTTACAAGATTTTGTCCCACTGGGTTTTCCTTGCAAGGTTTTTAACGAGGCAACCAAAAGACGTATTTCTAAACATGTGTACTCTTTTTCCTTCACTAGAATTTTTTTCCCATAGGGTTTTTTTCTAATAAGGTTTTAACAAGGCACATTATCTATGGACATCCAAGGAGGAGTGTTATAAAAAAATCAAATTATGGTGGATGTCTACTCTTCCTCCATGATCTTCTCAAATGCTTAATGACATATTCAATGACATATTTCTATGCTTAATGACATATTTTTTTTCACTTTTTATGCCTATATAAAGGCCTTGTAATAGATAAGAAAATACACACAATTGAACAAGAAAATCTCTTCCTTCTCTCTATCTCCATTTCTTGTTCATGTTTTACTAAATTGCTTTTATTT